CGACAGAAAAGAAAAGCGTATAAAGAGCTTATCTCAACACTTCAGATCAACCAGATTCAATACGCCTGGCTTTTTCCAGAGGGGGTGCAGTTTAAATATAAGGACAAAAGAGAAAAAATCGACTCGGTGTTCAAAGCGGAAGAATGTTGAAGCGGTTTTTCGGATCGAAAGAGAAAGAGCAGCAAGACGGTGGAGGCCAAGCAGCCAGCCTGGACGAGACGGACAGAGACCTAATGGGAGCAGAAGGAGGCACGGCCAGAGAGGCATATGATTTGCGGCTAAGAGTTGCCAAGTAGCTCTTATGATCTAAAAGATTTATGAACGAACTGGATGAAGTCTTTGTGCATACTGAGAAGAAATTAGACATTTACTAAAATGGACTCACTAATCTCCTTAATTCATTGACTTAAACGAAAGCTTTAATTTTTTTATGACTAACTGTATACTAACTGTTAATGACCTTCCTTTCTTGGGTTTTTAGTTATAGTGTGGGTTCCTCTTCTTTTGTACTGTCTGTATTCTGGGGTTTGTTATTTTAGTTTGTTATTTTTTTTCTCCCTTCCCCCCCCCTTTCTCTTCCCCCCCCCTTTTCCCTATTTTTTCCTTTCTGTAGTCACGTAGGTGTAACAAAAATTAATAAAGCTACCCTGTTTTTCAGGGGATTAAAAACAACAAAAAAAGATATTTTTATCTAAAGCAAGATTTTAAAGGTGGTTTCTCTTGCCTGCAGTCTTCTGGTTATACACTGCTGATGCTGGCTCAGCTTTCAAAAGGCTGTTTGGTGTTTGGGGGGAACGTGGCTTGTGTTCTTTACAGTTTTTAAAGTTTGTGTTCAGAAAGAGATACGTGGACAGAACTATCTATAATACTTAATTACATTCTAGTGTTTCTTAAATCCTTAACAGTAAATCTGACAACAGAAACCAAAGTTTTAATTTCTTTTGCACTCCTACTTTGAAGTTGTAACTGGAAAAGCATGTCTTGCACTGTAGTTCCTTTGGATTTTTCACTTCAACAGCCTCCAAGTTGTGGCGTACAGTGACTTATTTCCCCAAATAGTATATACATTTTTAAAAACCTTAGGCAACTATTGCTGTTCATTGTTTTAATCTGGTGCTACTCCCTTCTTCGGTGAGCCACCGCTCCTGATCCCTTCTTCAGATACCTGAGGAACTCAGGACAGCTCCTCCCCTGCCCCAAATTTTGTCAGCCTTTCAGGTGCTCCTGGACTCTGGCTCTTTCCTACTGTTGCAGACAGACTGACACGGCTCGCCCATCTTGATCTGTTTACACTTGTGCTTAAGTCATTCCTAAATATACTTTAAAAGAATTACTTAAGTAATACAAATATAAGTTCCATATAAATGTAGTTTGTGATACAAATGATAATAGCTTTTATGTTTGCGTGTTTTGCATGTTTGTAAACTAAAATAAAAAGCATATATGAAATATAAAAAATGTAGGCCCGCTCACAGTTTTAAAGCTAGCACCATTTTTTGCTCATGAAAGAAAATTTTGGCTCACAACACTTCACACCTTAGAGGGAACATTGCTCAGAACGTGGAGATTTCATGGGTAAAACCTGCCATGCCCAGGTATCAAAAAGCAGCTTCATCAACACCCTAGAATAGTGCCAAAAATGCTTCTTTAAAAGGAAAAAAAAAATCAGGTTGGAGCCCTCCTCACAAGCCAAAGGCAGCTATGCGAGAATTAAAAAAACACAAAAGGCTTTTTAGAAACTGAGCTGGGGTGGGGGTGGGGGGTGGAGAAGAGGGCCTTCCTCCCGCTGCCCTGACCAGCAGACACCCTTGCTAATGGTCCTTGGGACCCCCAAAGTCGTTAAATGCACCTAAAATGGAAGGCTCGCCACAGAAGCATTTGCACAAGTGTGGGAAAGGGCAGGTGCCCCCCCCAGTATTAGTCCCCCAGTGAAAGGACACAAGAGGGAGGTTGTGGGAGGACCGAGTGTCAGTGGTGACCCAGGGGAACAAGAGGACGAACCACCACAGCCCACAAGCCGGGCTTTACAGTTCGCAAAACAGAGACACAGGAGCCACACCCAGGAAACGCCAGGAATGGCCCGCCGGAGGTGGCACGGGAGGCCCTGGCTCAAATGCCGGCTGAGCCACAAGGCTCAGTTTGGGTAGCTTGACTCACCTCATCACGTGGTCGTGACAAGACTTCCTGAAACACTAACCTGGGCTTTGCGGAGAAAGGGGAAAGCACTCAAATCCACCTCAGCCCGTCGCCACAGCTGGTGCCCAGGGAGCAGAGTCCAAGAGGACGGAGGTACGAGAAAACCCCCTCCAGCTGGGGGTGGCCAGCCGGGTGCTGCCAGCTGGGGCGGGTGGGAGAGGCGGCACTTGGCTCCAGGGCAACCATCTGCTTGTCACTCCCATGGCCCCCCACCTCAGACTGAGAAGAGGCCCCCGGCCATCCTGCCCCACTCAAGCCTGCCCCCCACAAGAGGCCTGCACCACTTACACCCTCCAGATCAGCGGGAACTTCTGTCAAGTTGCCATCCAACACAAGCTCAGGGCTGTAGCGCTAGAGAAGAAGGCGGAGAGAGAGAGAGGCAGTGCAGTGAGCAGGCAGGAAACACTCCGACAGGCTGTTCAACAGTCAGAAATTAAAAAGGCGCCTGCCTGCCTAATTAATTAATTGGGTAACATGTTTTTAGAGATACAGTCCATCAATAAAACTGGTCCAAATACAGCAGCGGGGGCAAAAGGGAACAATATCAGCCACAATGTTCCTATCATATTCCCAGTAATTTCCCCCATTTTTTGCATAATTTCTTTGCTTTTTAAACACCTTCCTTCATTAAAAAAGCTTCCCAGAGATGTTCAGCTCATTCTAGCAGCCTCTCTGCACCCAGAAGCACATATTCAGGTAGTGGAGACCAAGGTTCTTTGCCCAGGGAGGGGCAAAGTTCCCCACCCCCTCACTTTGCCAAAACTGCTTGCAGACAACTGGCAAGAAAACGACAGCTGCTCAAGACACTTGCCCCACCCCAAGTGAGCGCTCTGGGCCTTGCCAGCTCCGTGAACATACCAGAACAAAGATGCTCATTTTCCCACGGAGCATGCATGGTGCAGAGCAGCACCCAAGCAAGGGAACAACCACCCAGGATGGGTGCAGGAGCTGAAACGCACAGGCTGCTGAGCCCACATGAGCTGCTGGTTAGGGAACAGCCTTTCACGAGCTTTGTGTTCAGATTCTCCTCGTTTCTCTGCTGCACTCCAGGTTTCCTTCCTCCTGCCTCTGCCTCTCAGCTCTGCTTGGATTCCCTGAAGCAATCCTCCCTCTCGCTTGCTTTTCCACATAAAGCTTTCCTTTTCCTTGGAACCAAGGCCTGTTGCGCTCGGTTTGTTCACACCATTTACACACCCATCGTCTACACAAGGATTCTGAGATGAGTAACAGGTTGGAAGAGAAATTCTCCCGTCTGGTCTCTCCCTGAGGATCTGGAAATAGAGTAGAGTGGTAGCTACCAGGAGACCTCCCCCCCCCCCCTTTCTTGGCCGCTTCTGCACAGGAGTCGGCCAAGCAAGGCAGGAGTGGGGCGGGAGCCGTTCCTCACTTCTTCCCCTCCTCCCCTGTTATTGCAACGTCTCCCCAATTTGCTTCTGGTCAGAAGCGCCGGAGACCGGCTGCTCAGCCCAGCACAGGTCCTGCTCGTGCCCCCTCCTCTGAGAGCAATGCCTCATCTGTGGAACTGCAGTTCTTTGCTACCAGTTCCTGCAGTTTTAATTCTCATCTGCTGGCAATTCTGTACTGGACTCCTGTAGCTGTGTAATGCTGCACTGTTTAACATGCTATTGATCACTTCAAATAAAGGCTGGTCTGTAGGCAGAGTCTGACTGTGTGGCTACCTGGTTCTCCACAGCCGAGATCACCGCACAGGTGGTCTTATTCGCAAAAGCTGCTTTGGCTCCCCAGGGAAGGTGGCCTCCACGCCTGGCAATGGGAATGGCTGCTGCTCACACGACAAGGAAGCTCCCCACGCAAGCCCATGGAGGTACTCACATCAGGGAGCGTTTCCGAACCATGGCCCAACTTCTTCCCTGACAGCATGGCCTGAAGTTCCTCGAGGCTTGCATCAATGCAGTTCAAGAAATCCTGCATCTCCTCCCTAGGACAGAAGGCGGGAAAGCCCACAAAGTCAAAGCACGAAGGGAGGACGGAAGGCAGCAGCTGCCAGCGTGGTCCAGGGATGAGCCACGTTCCCCAAGCAGACGGGCCCACAGGACAGACCGACAGGACGAGACCAGCAATGTCTCTTCCAGAACAAAGTCCCACGGCATCTGCAGGAGGCCAATCTGCATTTGGAGACTCAAAGTGGCTTTCTGGAATGGTCCCTGACCTTGATAGCCCAGACAAGCCCGATCCCGTCAGGTCCCAGAAACTACCCAGGGCCGACTCTGGCAAGTATTTGGAAGGGCGACCTCCAAGGAATACCAGAGGCAGGCTCCCTGGAAATGTATTCATTCAATTTATTTATTCAATTCCATTTATATTCTGCCCTCCCTGCAAGCAGGCTCAGGGTGGATCACAACACAGGTTCTAAAACACATCGGATACGTGCGCCACGGCTGGTGTGCCACAGGGGCCCTGAGGTCTTCCTGATCTGGGCTTCAGCAGAGGAGGCCGGGTCTTTATTGGACACACACACACACCCAACCTCAGCCAAGGGCCTGGTGGAGCAGCTCTGTTTTGCAGGCCCTGCGGAATGGCAGTAAGTCCGGCAGGGCCCTGATCTCAGCGGGGAGCCTGTTCCATCAGGCTGGGGCCAGGGTGGAAAAAGCCCCGGCCCTGGTCGAGGCTCAGCAGACGCCCCTTGGGCCGGGGACAACCGGCAGATCTTGACTGGCAGAGCGCAAGGCTCTCTGGGGGCACAGAGGGGGAGAGTCAGTCCCTCAGGGATGTCGGTCCCAGGTTGAGCAAGGCTCTCAAGGTCAATCCCAGTGCCTTGAAACAGACCCAGTCCTCAATCGGTAGCCAGTGCAATTGGGGTAGCGCTGGCTGAATGTGCGCCCACACGGGCAACACAGTCAGCAGGCATGCCACCACATTTTGCATGAGCTGGGGTTTCCAGATCAGCTGCAAGGGCAAGCCCGTGTAAAAGCAAGTTATGGTAATCAAGCCTGGAAGTGACCATTTCGTGGGTCACTGTAGCCCCCAGCAGGGGGTCGCCAGAAGTCAACCATGACTTCCAGGCAAGCACACAACACACACACAAACAAATATAATAAATAAATAAATATGTGGCTTTCTAGAACGTCATTCTCCCCTCAGGCATTTTCTCATAACAGCCCTGTGAAGTAGGCCAGGCTGAGTCTGTGATGGGCCCAAGGTCACCCAGCGAGCTTCAGTGATAGAAGAGGGGACTCGAAACCTGGCCCCCGAGCATCCAACTCTGCCACTGGCTCTGAGAAAGACACACCCCTCTGGGAATATTTCACTTCTTTCAGTTACTCCAGGTAGAGCGCTGGGTGGCAACTGAGACTGTAAAAGCCTTCTGGACCCACAGTGCTCTCCCTCGGAGGAAACCTCTCTGTCAAGCCAAGTCTTCTCCTTGCACATGCGCCCCCCCCCCTCAAATCCTTTCACAATCATCAGCTCAGGCAACCAGAGAGTTGGGAGGGACCTTCAGGGTCATCTAGTCCAGCCCCCTGCAATACGCAGGAACTTCACAACTACCTCCCCCCCCACACACCCCCAGTGACCCCCGTTCCATTGCAGGAAGCCCGAAACAGTAAGTAACCTCCTGGTCTTCCTGCCTTGCCAGGGACAAGCTGCTGTCCTTAGCACTCTTTTGAAGAGGTGTCTCTGGACCGTACCTAGGAGGTCTGGCCAAGTAGGACTGGCACCACCCTGCCTGGTCTCGGGTCACATTTCGCAGAAACAAAAACCGGCACGGAGCGAGAACATCACGCTCTTCATTTATACTCCTTTGGCCAAAAAGTCCAACTGGTCTGAGGCAGCATCGAGGGTAAGGGAGTCCGTCTTCTCCATTAGAGGCTGCCGTTCATTCGTTCAACATGTGCTCCGAGAGCAAAAGGCCCTGGGCCCAACTCATTCGCCCCCCAGAGATGCTAGTGGGACTGGGAAAGATACCTGTGGAGCCGCGCTGCTTGGAAAAAGTCAGCCCAAAGCAGAAGCTGCAACTACCAACGAGAGCCAGTTTGGTGGAGTGGATAAGAGTGGCAGACTCTAACCTGGAGAACCGGGTTTGATCCCCCACTCCTCCTCCTCCACATGCAGCCAGCTGGGTGACCTTGGGTCAGTTCTCTCAGAGCTGTTCTCTCAAGAGCAGTCCTCGAAAGAGCTCTCTCAGCCCTCCCTACCTCACAGGGTGTCTGTTGTGGGGAGAGGAAGGGAAGGGAGACTGTAAGCCGCTCTGAGTGAAGGGCAGGGTATAAATCCAACTCCTCCTCCTCTTCTTCTTCTAAGCACCTGGGCTGGTGACAGAACCAGGGGAGCCCGGCTCCCTCTGCCCATGCATCTACCTAGGCAAGTGGCAGTTCTCATCGGTGGCCTGCCTCACCCCTAAGGACATTCACAGAACCACAACCTGGCTGAGCACGAGAACAGAAGCCAGGAGCTTCTGGTGGACCCCGAAGGCCCCGCTGTGAGTCTCACAAGCGCTGCCAGACTGTCAGGTACCTCTTCCCCAGCAAGACGTTCCCCTTGCGTTCACAGACCACACACAGACTCCGGATCGCTTGGGGCAGATGACTGGCCTGGTCCGTGTGAAGAGACCCTGAGGGTGGGCCCCCAGCTGGGGAGAAAGGGGTGGCATAAGTGGAACACGGCCCCCTTACACAGTCTATGTGAATGCCACTTTGAAAAAATGTGCACGTGTGTGCATGAAGTGCCGGCAAGTCGCTTCCGATTTACGGCAACCATAGGAATCGACCTCCTCCAAAGCATCCAGCCTCCGGCACACGGAGCGCCTCTGTGGCCCCCTGGGTGGAGTCTGTCCTCCTCTGGTTGGGTCTTCCTCTTTTCCTGCTGCCTCCCGCATGTCCTAGCATCACTGACAATGTCAACGCAAGTCTGCTGGCTGCTGCAGAATTCCTGGCAGACGTCACACCAGAATCTGTCCCACCAAACTGTCGGTGGGCAGCAGATTCAGGACAGACAGGAGGAAGCACTTTTTCATGCCCAGAACAGTTAACTGGTGGATGTAATAATGGCTGCTACTAAAAGGGGGTTCCATCGAACTCCTGGAGGAGATGTCCATCAGCGGCCATAAGACGCAAGGACTAAACGGGAGGCAGCGAGGGAGCGGCTACTAGGGTCAGAGACCGCAAGAGAGCCTGGGCTTTGAGCCAGCTGCCAACGACTGGCTTTCCTTTGGGAATCCCAGCCCAGGAAGGCCTGACACTCTCAGCGTGCGGATTCCACAGTCCTGGCCTGACCCCGGCTACATCCCTTGGAAACCAGCCATACCTCTCCAGCACAGGACCACTCTGCGCCGCTGCCTGGCTTTCATCCAAGATGGAGGCGATCACGGCAGCAGGGTCTTCGGCCACGCCGGGCTGCACAGAGTGCGGTTCCACAGCACAGCTCTCTTCCACGCTGCCCTCCACTGCGCTGCCCACCAGCTGAACTGGACGGCTGACCTCCAGCAGTTCCAGCCCCAACGCTCTGCAGGGAGGGAGGCCTTCTCCAGCGGGCAGCTGGCCACCCCTGAGGACACACAGCACACGCAAAGGGCGCAGGGTTGAGCACCTGCGCTCCAGAACACAGACGGATGCGTTTTGGAGGCATTACGAGACTCTTTCCTAGGAAACATCCACAACTAAGGCACAAAAGCAGAAGTGATGTGCTAGAGCAGACAGCCCATCTCACTCAATGTCACACTTCCCTGAAATGGACAGATGGCCCCGGGATGATTGTGAGCAGGCCGCCCAACTCCCCTTGGTCCACAGCATCTACACACTCCAGAGGCATAGAGGGGCTTGCCCAGGAGGCCAAAATGGCCCCGGGAAAAGGGCTGCACATGCCCTGATTTGGGGGGGGGGGGGGGGGGGAGGCAGAGGCTTGCTGCAGCTCCCGCTTGCCCACCTTGTGCCGGGGGTGGCTCTCGTGTCCCTTGGTCACGGCAGCAGTGGCTTCCGCCCACCTTGTGGGGATCCACCCCAGTCTCCCAGATTATCGTATTTCCAATGGCCAGTCAGAAGCTCACCTGGGCAGAAGCCCCACCTGGCTACGCCCACTTCCTGAAAACACCTGGGAGGCCCCACGGCACCCACAAGCACCACACTGGGGAGGCCCTGAATTAAGCCACAGCTCAGTGACAGAAGAACTCCTGCTTCGCACCCCTGAGTCTCAGAAAACCAGCCACGGGAAAAGACGGGCCCAGGCAGGCCACCGCCTGATTTAGCGGAAGGCCCCAAACTCCCCCCCCCCTTCAGTTAAAATGTCGCAGCCCTTCTTGTTCGAGGAAAAGCCCCATTTTAAAAAGCTGCCTTTCAACTCAGGCCTGTTGCAGTCAGTGATTACCTCCTCCCCGGCCAGCAAAGCACTCGCAGAGTTGCAATGCCACTTCCAGCTTCCGGTCTCTCGGGACAAAGAGTCGAGCACAGCACAGGGCCCCACGGGAACACCCCCCCCCCGCACTTCCTCACCAGTTCCCGCTGACGGTGCGTGCGACAGCCAGGGGCCTCCCTGGGCAGTCCCCGGGGCCCTCCTCCTCCTCCGGAACGTTGGTGATGTCACGGATTATCAGTGCATCTTCGCAGCCTGCAGGGTGCTCAGAAATAGTCGCCTACGGGAGAGAGGCAACCAGAGCAGGAGGAAGACTTGCAGGCGCCATTCTTGCCACAATAATTATTCTCACCATTTTACAAACATTGCAATTCTATTGATTTGTATTACTGAGTCAGGAAAGAAACAAGAGTATCTATTGGTGACCTGAAGACGTATCATCAGAGAGTCTTTAACCTCAGTGATCAAGAGATTCTGGCACTCACCCTGAAAAGACTCACAAGGAGCCACCCCAGACACAAAAGGACTTACTGTTTCACAGTCTTCAATAGGAATGTGAATGTACTGACGGCCGTATTTTGCAGGCAAGGCACCCGAACCATCAGACAGTGATCTAGCCGGAGACATGAGCAGATTCTTAGAACATGCTTAGTAAATTCAGAAAGACAGTTGCATGGAATGATGTTCCACCGACATTTCCCATGCAAGACGTTCCGAACATCAGCGGCCTCCTCTCTTAGTGATGTAGAACAAACAGCAGGTAACAGAAGTGCAGATTAACTGGTGTAAGGGACCAATCCTAAGCAGGTCTACTCAGAATCCTACTCAGGTTTACTCAGTAGGGCTTACTCCCAAGAAAGTTATGTCAGTACTGTACTGTAAATCCTGCTGTTAATTTTTTCCTTGAAAAACTCTTGATTTCTTACTTCTATTTGCAGCAGCAGAAAATAAGGTGCAAGAGAAGAAGAAGAGATTGGATTTATACCCTGCCCTTCACTACCCAAAGGAGTCTCAGAGCGGCTTACAAACTCCTTTCCCTTCCCCTCCCCACAACAGACACCATGTGAGGTAGGCGGGGCTGAGAGAGAGCTCCCTCGAGGACTGCTCTTGGGAGAACAGCTCTGACAGAACTATGGCTTGCCCAAGGTCATCCAGTAGCTGCAAGTGGAGGAGTGGGGAATCAAACCCAGTTCTCTCAGATTAGAGTCTGCGCACTTAACCACTACACCAAACAGACAGGGATTCCCACTCCCTTTTTGTTTGTCATTTTTACAGTGGTGACACAAACTGTTTGAGGGGTAACTGAAGACACTTCATCAGCCACCCACATACATAGATGTCCTAACTGGAACATGTTAACCACCGATATGAAATTCTAAAATGAGAAGTTGTAAATTAAGAAGTTGTAAATTAATTCTAATATGAATTTCTAAAATGAGAAGTTGTAAATTAAGTCCAACTGGGCATGATTCGTGATGCTACCCCGGTAAACTACAAATCACTTCCTAGCTGCTAATAATGGTAATCATCAGTATTCCTTCTAAACTGAGTTAGTGTGAGCTAGCTCACAGTTTTTTAGCCTCCAACTCACACATTTTTGTCTTAGCTCTGGAAGGATGGCTCCAGAGCAAACTAATTCATGCAGTAGCCAAATCGCTCGCTCATAATTTTAATGTTAGTAGCTCACAAAGTAGAATTTTTGCTCACAAGACTCCACAGTTTAGAGGGAACATTGGTAATCACATATATCAAAAGAGAACAACCATGATAACCTAACTAATTACCAATCCTTTTTATATTTAAATGAACAGCCGCCCTGAGTCACCATGTTGTGTGTGGGGGGGGGGTAAAAGTTAAATGAATGAATAAATAAATAAATATAAATATATAATGTGAAAAAATTGTATTACAAACTTGTTTCTTCTTATCTACAGTTCAAAAACTTTAAAGGATGATGTTCCCTTAATTAGGATACACTAATGAGGTGCGAAATGCTTTCCTCTCTAAGAAGGCGCTTCCTGTTTTGATGAACTCTCTACACAGAAGGACTGAAGTGCCTATTGAATCCTTTAAAGGTTTTGAACTGTAGATAAGAAGAAACAAGTTTGTAATGCAATTTTTCACATATTATATGTAATGCACTGTTCATTTAAACATAAAAAGGATTGGTAATTAGTTAGGCTATCACAGTTGTTCTCTTTTGATATACCGTGTTTCCCCGAAAATAAGACACTGTCTTATATTTATTTTTTCTCAAGAAGACACACTAGGGCTTATACCACAAATGCATAGAAATCCTGCTAGGGCTTATTTTTGGGGTAGGTCTTATTTTCGGGGAAACAGGGTATGTGTTTCCGTGATTCTCTCTCCTGGTTTGTTCAGTAATAGTAACCACAGCAGGAGGGGACTGATTTTAACAATAGTTACGGTTTCGGAATCATCCAAACCAGACCTTGAGCATACACAGTCTGTTAGTTTTAAACTTCCGATTTGGTTAACTGGGATAGGATCCCCCCCAGGATACAAGCCCAGAGAGACTTTTAGCACAGCCTCGAGGTATGGGAGGGAACCCAATACCACAGTGAGCACCGGGAGTGCAGCCTGGCACCTCAGACATGAAAATCAAGAGCTACTGCAATGTGACAGGTGGAACCAGGATCCCAGAGAGCTGGATTCAAATCCCCCTTCCACCATGAAGCTCACTGTGTTAGAGAGTCCCTCTCCCTCAGCCTCACCCACCTCACCGGGTTGCTGAGAAGATAAAATTGAGAGGGAAGGAAACCCCTCCCCCCAAATAGCCCCAAGCTCCCTGGAGGAAGAGTGAGGTTAAAATGCAGCAGATAATTAAAATGAAAAGTATACAGTGATATATAACCCTTTGTGCTCAATTGTTCACAAAATAAATGGAATTTATATTCTTACACAGAAAGTGGCTGCTGCAAAAAATGCGTCAAGGCCACACATCGATCACCCCGTGCCCCATTCCCTCAGTGCGCCCTCTAGCAAGGCCCAACTGGCATCCCAGTCGAGCGGCAGAAGAAAGAGCAGTTACCGCTTCCGCTTGAGCCCCACGATGCAGTTTCGCCTCATCAAGCTCAGTATAAACTCCAGGATCTGGAGAGAGAGGAGAGGAAATGTCAGCAGGGCCCCCTCAGCAGCACCACGGCCATGCAAGGTCAGGGAGCAGCCCAGTCAACGCGCCCATTCCCTCCACGCTGGCAAAACACCCTTGGCTGTGCAGCATCCCTGGGGACCTTCTCCAAAGACCACGTGGTGCCATCAGTGCTCAGGGATTAGATGCCAAGGGTGAAGCACCTGGTGGTTTTTTTGGAACCTTTCAGAAAGCCACCGGGAAGGAGACCTCCCATCACGGGTACCAAGCAACTGTGCCCCATGCAAAGCCCAGGCTGTCCCATGACCTGCCCCATGCTTCAGGGAAACCTGACGGGAGACGAAACAAGAGGCCTGACCGAAGTGTTCTCCAGCAGGCTCCCCAGCCCCCACCCATAACACTCAACGTCCTCCTCCACTTGCTCACCATCCTCAGGAGCCTTCCACCGAGGGGGAAACCACGGACACGGCCAGAAGCTGCCAGACTCTGCTCAGTGGAGTGGGAGGAGGACCACCTCGATGAGATCATGCTGTGAGATCACAACCACCCCGTAGAGGAAGGCAGGACTGTGACTCCCGCGAGCCAGAGGCGGCAGGCCCATGCAAGACTTGCCCCAGGAAGCCTCGTCAGCCCACAGCAGAGGAAGGACTCCAAGCGGGGACTTTCTGCCCAGACACTTGGCCTACCGTCAAAGGGGTCAGCGTGGAGTACCAAGATAATGGACCATGAGGGCTCTAGGCCTCAAGAGAAGCCCCAGTTTGCAGTCTCTGGGTCACCTGCTTCTGTTACACCTTCAGCCCATCGCTCTGCACGGAGCACAGGGGAGTGGGTGCTCCCCCCCCCACTTCATCCTCAGCTCGTGGGACACACCCAGCCCAGGAACATCTCGTGACTGTGACGGCCAAGCCAATCTGAACTGGGCTACAGATCTCCCCCCCCCCCCCCCGGTCCACCTTGGACTCTGCCAGTATCTAAAGTGCTGTTCCTTCGTCCTGCTGTCCCCTTCAACAGATTTGCCCAAGATCTAACTGGTCCACATGTTCTACAAGCATCTCAGATTCCACTAGAGTTATTGGGAGTTTTGCCTCCCCTCCACCCACTGAGGAAGCACAGATGTCGCTACAGCCCCTCTGAGTCAACTGCTCAACCCCAATCCAACCAGCACTCTTGTTGTACATCATGTGACGGACACGGAGATCCTAACGAGATCTGGGGAGGGTCAGAGCGAATCTGCCAGGCCCATGCGCGTGGGGAGGGGGGGGGCTCAGCTTTGCACTGCGATCCTCCACACTCAACGAGGAATATTCAGGTCTCTGAATCCGCACTGCCAGGTACCCAAGCCAAATCGAATACCAGGCTTAGAAGCTGGTTCTTTTTTTCCTGAGAAAAAGTGTAGACGAGCACTTCCACTCACACTCACAGGAACACATGGAAGGGCTCATGAAGCCTTCTTCCCTGGAAGAGACGATGCACTCGTTCTGGAAAGAGGTCCTGATCTCCACTGAGAGCTCTGTCAACTGCCCACTCATCCAAACTATCAATTTCAACTGGGGCCCAACTTCTGCAAAACTTCGTGCCAGGCCCAGGGTGATGCCCACCCACTGAAAACCCACCTCCGCGAGACAGCTGGCTTGCACGGCTCCTCACTGCAGGGCTTGGGGCTCGCACGGCCTGACACCCGGACAGCTCCAGCGTCTGGCAAGCACCTGGTCCAAGTGCCTAACTCCTCTCAGTGCCTGCCTGAAGGTTTCTCAGCCACGCGTCCTTCCTTTTATGAAAAGCTTTGCTCTGCCCTGACCCGAGGTTCCCAGGCTAGCCCGACCGCGGAAGCTAAGCAGGGGCAGCAGCACGGATGCGGGCTTGGGTGGGAGACCCCCAAGGAACACGAAGGTCACCCCACGGAGTCAGGCCATGGCAAACCACCTCCGCCCATCTCTTGCCTTGAAAACACCACGGGGGCTGCCAGAAGCCAGCTGCGACTTGACGGTACATGTCCCCCCCACCCACCCACCAATCGTCTGTTTTTACTTTTAGCATCCTGAGACCTCGCAAAGCCCAGAGGAAGAACGAGGAGATGAAAGTCCCTCCAGGCTCCCCTCCCCTCTGGCGTGCACCCCCCCCCCAAAGCCCCAGACGTGCTTGCTCGAGAGTCACCCAAAGAAGGGACAGGCCGTGGCTGGTACCTTGGAGAGGAGCTGCTGCTGCTGGCTGTGCTTCTGCCGCAGAGACGCCACCTCCTTCCACAGGGCTTCGTTCTCCCTGCATGAAAACGCACCAAGACCAAGGGAAAGAACAGAGGCAGTTACTCGGCTTGCTCTAGACAATGGCTCTTCAGTTTCCGCAGGAGCACGCGGGGTCGTGCCTCTCACCTTCAGCACAGAATCCCAGAGTCCACGCGTGCTTCACGTTCTTCGGAGTGCACCTCAGGTGTTCCGGGGTAGGCCTCAGAATGTGAAGGCCCCACACGCATTTTTACACAGGTGGATTCAGGGAGCCGGCACTGGACACAAGGCCCCGTCCCGGGGGCGGCTGGGAGCCCACAGGCCCTACAAAGGGCCACGGAGGCGGTTCTCAAGGGCCAAGACCCGGCAGCAGCCCAAGCAGCGCTCTGGGGGCAGCCTCACTGGCAGCCAAAGGACGTGTCGCAGGACGTGTTTCGCAGGCATGACCAGGACAGGGCAAAGGGGGGCGGGTGAGGGCACGCGGGTGCCGTCCGTTGGCCAAACGCCAAGGGGTGGCCTGGCAGATCACTGCTATTACCATTATTATCTGTCTTATTTCTACACTGCCTGTAGCCAAAGCTCTCTGGGCAGTTTACAACAAGTATATAAAGATACAACAGATAAAACATTGAGAGTTAAAAATTAATTTAAAATAACATTAAAAACAATAGACCACCAGACCCAAAAAAAGACCTAACCCAGAGTGAAAAAACAGTATCGGGCCCCTGCATCACCCAGGAGGTTTTCAGAGGCCTTTGGCAAGCAGAGCTGTCTTAACCCGGTGCTGAAAAGATGGCAAGTTTGGCACCAGGTGGGCCACAGCGATTGTTCCAAAGATGGGGGGCCACCACGAAAAGGCCCCCTCCCCCTAGCCGTCACCCTCCAAGCCTCTCGAGGGGTTGGCACCTGGGGGAAGACCCCAGAGGCTGAGGGTAGAGTCCGGGTAGATGGAGGCTGGGAGAGGTGCTCTGACAGATCTTGTGGTCGCCAGCCAAGTAGGGCTTCCTAGGTGAAGACCAACACCTTGGATAGGGACCGGAGGCATACAGGCAGCCCATGCTGGCGGGCCAGAACTGGTCTCATGTGTTCGGACCTCTGGGTCCCAGTTATTAATCCAGCTGCCACATTCTGCACCAGCTGCAGCTTCTGAACCATCTTCAGGGGCAGCCCCACTTGGAGTGTGTTGCAGTGATCTAGTCTGGAGATTACCAGAGCATAAAAGACTTTCCAGATAAGGGCACAACTGGGCCGGTAGAAAGCACGCCAAGCCACCGATGCCACCTGAGCCTCACGTGACCGAGATGGATCAAGGAGCAGCCCCCAAGCTGCGAACCTGAGTAGGACATACTCATTTCGGGCGTCCTGGCCCGGACGGTCCGGGCTAGCCTGACCTCATCAGCTCTCGGAAGCTAAGCAGGGTCAGCCCTCGTGAGGCCGCCGAGGAAGTCCAGGGCTGCCACGCAGAAGGCACCAGTGGCAAACCGCCTCTGGAGGTCTCTCGCCTTGGAAACCCCATGAAGGGGTCACCGGAAGCCAGCGGAGACTTCATGACGCTTTCTGCCAGCACACCCAGCCTGGGCAGAACCTACTCGGCCATTCTGGCACCAGTACCCAGAAGAGCAGGGTGGAAAATTTTCCACTGTTTCATTTTACCACAAAATATTTTTCATTTCGAAAAACTCAGTGCTGCATTTTTTTAAAAAATCAGTACATGGAAGCTACTGCCAGCACATCTGGTGAGCTTCACAGTCCCAACGTGGTAATGGGTATTTCCCCAAGAATTGCTTCAGGCACGTTTCCCTGATTTATAAGAGAGAGGGGATAAAATCTGAAATACATATACCAAAAACCAAGTTAGGAACATCTACTATCAATGCAGGAAGAGTGGACCACACCTTTAAAAGTGTACAAAAGATTGCCCCCCCCACCCCCGAATCTCACTTCCGCTTCACTTGTCACTTTCTCTGCTGTGATCTCCCAGTTCTGTTCTCCTTTGCTCTCCCCCCCGCCCCCTCCCCCCCTGCAGGCAGATAAGAACTTACTGACTTGTTCTTTGAAACATAAATATTCCATGATCTTACCACTGGATGATTCAGGGTTAGCATCTGGTGGGTCACACTGCCAGATTATTATATTATATATAATGTATATATTATTTAAACTATAATATCTAAGACACAGACTTGTTATGTTTTATTTTAACTATTATCCAACTGTTGAGGCCAATGACCACCCTGCAGTGCCCTGCCCAGCTCCCCCTTCCAGACGACACTCCGCGGTCACGAGAGATGTCGGCACCTTTTCATACTGGCCAGCTTGAGGTCCATGTTGCTCTGCTGCTCTCTCATCTCCTGGACTTCGGACAACACTCTGTGCAAGTCCTCCGGGCAGACCTTCAGCTCCTCCGCTCTCACCGCAGACACCTGTGGCAGGACCAAGGCACAGGGGGGGGGTTTCCTCACAGGCTCATTTTAAATACGCACCGTTCTTATAAGGACCGCATGAAGAACGAGAGGCTTGCTGCTCCGAGAGAGGACAAGGAAGACCAGCCTCCCCGCCACGGCAGAAGTGCCAGAACCCACGTCAGCTCAGTGGCCATTTAGCATTTACAGCTAAAGAAGTCTGCAAAAGGTGAGAACCAAACAATAGTGGTGCATCAAGACCAGAGAGGCTTGGTCTTAGATATATCATCTAAATGCTGCAAACAGAGACCCAAACAAACTTCCACAGAACCTCCCATCACAGCTGCCTTGTCCATTTCTCACTTAACCCACCCCCGTGACCTCTGCCCTGCTCCAGGCCTCAGGAGGAAACGGACGGACGGGGGACTGTGCTGGGACTCTGCTTGGCACTCAGGTTCAAAGAGGAAGCCGGCTTCCCTTACAGACGTGGGGATTTCCCATGTGACAGACTGGGCCCACAATGATGGGTCACGGCAACATTCTCCCATGTGCACGAGATTCGCACTCACAGCAGTTGCATCCCGGTGGCCAGGATGACAACCAAAGGGCGGCTACAAGAGGCAACCATTTTGGTAACATTCTCAAAGGAGAGGGTCACACGAGACTCACGCTTATGACTGAGTCGCCTGGGAGCCAGAAAGCCCCTGCCCCAAGACCCCACAGAGCCTGGCGACAAGTTTGAGCGTGTCCAGAAGAGGGCAACCAGGATGGTGAGAGGGTTGGAATCAAAGTCTTATGAGGAAAGGCTGAAAGAGTTGGGTACGTTTAGCCTGGGAAAGAGAAGGCTTCGAGGGGACATGATTACAGTCTTCAAGTATCTGAAGGGCTGTCAGGTAGAAGATGGAGCAGATCTATTCTCTCTTGCTCCGGATTGCTAGATCTAATATCAGGAGAAACTTCCTAACTGTCAGAGTGGTTGGGCAGTGGAACGGACTGCCTCGGGAGGTGGTGGATGCGCCTTTGCTGGACGTTTTCAAGCGGAGGCTGGACAACCATCTTTCCGGTATGTCGTAGAGCTATCCTTCAGCTGTGCTCCTGCAGAGTGCAGGGGGTTGGACTAGATGACCTGCAAGGTCCCTTCTGACTCTAACATTCTATGATTCTATGACGTAAACACCTTATGCGATTGTGCTCTTCCCCAGACCACACAGATGCACACCCCAGGAAAGTTTTGGAGAGCCACTATTCTGGACGGTTTTATGTTCCACACATCCTCCACACACACCTTATTTGGGCTGCTCATTCATAAACAGAGCTCCAAAGCTGCATACTGAGCGTATTAAGAGCAACGGAGGCCACATGATTGGGTGCTCACCTGCGAGGCACAGTGGGAGATCGACATGTCTATGCTCCCGGCCATCTCGGGCTCCGGAGGTGCTCCTTTGGGGCAGGAATTCAAGAGCTGGCAAGTCATGATCCCAAAGACCAGCTCAGGTTCCCATCAAGTTTACTGTCCTGGCAGGAGGCACACAAAAGCTGGGCCCCACCCACTGATCTTCATGGGCAGGAAGCTTCGTAAGAGAAGACACACACACACACACACCCCTCAATGTGCTGGGCCCAGGGCTTGGGAGGTTAACCGAACTGGCACAGCCCACAGACAGGCAGCGGAGCCTTTTCAAAGGGCACGGAGAAAGAGACGGGGAAACCTTAACTGAACTGGTTCCATGCACAATTAGTATAGACAAGGAAAAGCCGCTGAGCTGCCCCAAAAGCTCGGGAATCACGCCTCTGCCGATACAGCAAGGCCTGCCTTGGGTCCTGACAGAAATCTCTGTGTCCGCCACGAACTTGGGAACGGTGCTGGGATTTCTGAGAGCCAAGAAACCAGAACCAGTCTGAGCTCTCCAGGAACAGCAAAAACTTGAGATGAAGTTCTAAGACCAGCAGGCAGGTCTGCCAGGCAGACTTCACTGCTGCCGGCACCCTGGGAGAGAAGGAGGCTTGGTTTCTGACAAGCAGCGGTTTATGCTTCAACCAGACAGAAAACCAGTGAGGACCACCGAAGGCCTACCCGGGGCTGGCCACAGGACGCTCCACTTGCCAACTGTCTCCTTCCTCCCAGGCAGCGGTGCCAAAGAACACAGGCTTGCTGAGTGTGGACAGGCCTGGGGGCATTTGGAATGGGCTGGAGGTCATGCACGGCTCAGCAAAATACTCCCACTGCTGCCCTCGAGCGCAACGCTGGCCTGGAGTCAGGCCAGGGAGCAGGGTCTGTGGCCGCCAGACGGGCAGGGGCTGGATGCTGCGGGAGAGAACCGTGCTGTGCTTCTGAATAGCTCCACCAACGCAGGCACAACTGGCCCAGGGTGCCCCTGTCTGCAGAAGGCCCTCAGAGGAAGGCTGACTTCAGCCCCCCCAAAACCTTTTTGCGCGTGGGGGCACCTCTGGAAGTCTGCCATGACGTGGTGGGCACAGCCCCAAAATAGCTGTATTGGCTGACCTCCAGTCCCCCTGTGGAGGCCCCTCTGCAGGGATGGCGGCAGCTGCCGCCAAGGCAGCATTTTTAAACATCTGCACAGCCGATCCCACCCTCAAAGCCAGTCAGAGCCTTTGCTGGGGGGAATCCCTGCCTGGCCCCACCTACTTTCTAGAAACACCTGGCAGGTGCCAGAAAAGGTGCCACGGACCACTTCTCTTCAGCCCCACACACACACCTCTTGGCCACGAAGGACCAGCAGGCTGCATCATGGAACTCTTACTGGTGGGGAAATTCAGGCCTAGGAGCGGAGAAGCCTCACCCTTGCTCTAGAACTGGGGCCCTCATCCAGCCTCTGCCTCCCATCCCCAGCCCACTCAAGACACAATCCCACCACCTCCCCCCCTCACCTTCCTGCATGACAGATATAAATTTTGTAAATAAATAGATAAATAACCTTTTAGCAGTGATTTCTCTCCCCCCCCCACAACGTCAAGTGGTGCCCTGGGCAAAAGGCAACCGTCCCCCGTCCCCCCCGGCCACAGCCCAGTCTCCTCGCCACTCCCTCCCTTCACACGAACACGACCGCTCTTGTCAACAAGGCCATGACAGAAGCCATTTCCCTCCTCCGAGGGGAGCAGAGAGAATGGAGGACAGTGGCTTAGAGAGCCAGTTTTGTTTGCAAAATGAACTGGATTTCTTGCCACAACCCTGCGTTGCCAGGCGTGGATGAGATGACCTCACCATGTCTGTGTTGTGCCCAGTTTCCAGGGCTTCAGCCCGGGGCCCGGGGGGGGGGGGGGGGGGTTGAACACAGCGGCGGCAACAACATTCGCAACAAGCCGCCTGAGAGCCAGACGAGAGGCATTCGTGGAAATGGCTGGCCAAGGCACACACCAGCCCATGGCAGGGACCAGGTTCGGCCACAACAATCCTGCCTCTGGAGGACAGAGGATGCTGCCCTCATTAGCACTTCCACCAAAGACAGGATCTTTCAACCCTTACTGAGGGCAGAGATCCTGCAGACGAGACCAAGAGAGACTTCAGGTGCCTGGCCGCAACTTAGAATTATAGAGTTGGAAGGGACCTCCAGGGTCATCTAGTCCAACCCCCTGCACAAGGCAGGAAATGCACAAATACCTCCCCCTCCACACCCCCAGTGATCCCTGCTCCATGCCCAGAAGAGGGGCAAAAAAACTCCAAGATTGCTTCCTGACCCCAAAGTGGCAATCGGCATTTCTGTGGGCATGTAAAAAAGGGCCACGAAAACTAAGCACTAAGGCAACCCTTCCTGCCCTCCCTCTCAAGATCCGCCTAAGTTCACAGAATCAGCATTGCTGTCAGATGGCCATCGAGCCTCTGCTTGAAAACCTCCAAAGGAGGAGAAGCCCGCCACCTCCCAAGGAAGCCTGTTCCACTGAGGAACCGCTCAAAAAAAAACGCTCTAACTGTCAGGAAGTTCTTCCTAATGTTTAGCCGAAAACTCTTTTAATTTCAACCCGTTGGTTCTGGTCCAACCTTCTGGGGCAACAGATAACAACTCCACACCGTCCTCCAGATGACAGCCCTTCAAGTGCTTGAAGAGGGTGATCGGATCGTATCACTGTACGAGCGTGCGCCATGATCTCAAGATCCACCCCTAGCAGCTCGTGAGGACATCAGCAGAGGTTTCCGCTGTGGGCCTGCAGAAAGGCCACGTGACAAGGTTGCCAATTGCAAGTGGGCAGATTCCTGGAGAACTGGGGGCTGGAACCTGGGGAAGGAGGGAGGGAGCGACCTCAGAGGGGTGCCATGCCACAGAGAGCCCTCCCTCCAAAGCAGCCATTTCCCCCCAGGGGAGCTGAGCTGAGCAGGCCTCATGTGGAGGCCGGCCGTCCTAGGTCAGGAACACGCCTCCCAGTCACTTCGTTGCACGGGCACGCTTTCTGTTCTCAGGACTGAGGACTCCTCATGGCAAGAGGTCACAATCTGCATGCAATGAGCATATAAGCAGCTACTTCAGAAGAGCACATCAGATTGTCCAGAGAAAAGGAAAAACAGCCATTTTAAGGAGGAGAGGGCAATCGCCCACTGCTAACTTCGGCCTCGCCCTACACCTGCGTGCCGTTCCTCTAAAACACAAATGCGCAAGAATTGCCTAATGGCAGATTTTTTTTTGAAGGCTCCTGCATTCAGAACAACTACCAATGATAAAAAGATAGATGGCAAAAGAACTGGCAGTTATACGACAACAAAGTGGGAGGGAAATTAAATGCACCCTCCCCCCCCAGCCTGCACTACTGACTGTACTAACTCAAAGAGCAGTTCCATGAGAACCAACACACAACGGAAACACCACCACTTTTAAAAGGACTCCTCTTCTTAAGTAGTAGAGAAAGTCAAGCCACACCTGCCCTTTTTAGAGCTGACGTTTAAAAACTCACAAAGGAAGTCTGAAGGGAGCATTCGATGGCAGAACTGTTTTAGGAGTCACTTTAATGGGGGTGGGTGAGGCCCCCAGACTCCTGCCTAGAAATCAGAAAAACAGCTTTGCTGACGATCTTTGGTAAAGCAACTGCAGCTCAGGATCCAGTAACAACATGCAGACAAATATTCCTGTCAGGTTAACTGCTTGGAAAAGATACACAAAAACCCCAACTAGGCCTGAAATCAGACTTGACCGTATGCATGTGTCCCAGAACAGGGAGGGGCACAGAGCGACAGCAGGGGAAGCCTGTTATTTGATGTGGCTGGCTAAGCACACGGGGTTCAGATCCCACCTTATCGACTTTGGCACCACAATCCTGTGCACAGTTACATGGAAATCCACCTATTTCTGCCTGGGCCTGCCTACAAGTCACAGGGATAGCTAGTCTAACCTGCAAGGCAGAGGTGACCAAGAAAAAGCCTATAGATTTTGCATATAATTTATTTGGAATGTACAGATACTGAAGTTTTCCGCTGTACTATCTACACAAATAAAAAGTTTCCCAATGAAGAATATGTCAAAAGTTGCTCTGAAGGGCATCAGGCCTGTGGCCAGCAGTGGGGCACTGCAGGTGGTGCCCCCTATGGAATCTGAAGCGCCCCCCCACCAATTTTCCCAAGTCTTCCCTTTAGTAACTAAAGTTTAGTTCAAATTTATGGCCAACACTATGCTGCACGGGCCAGCCCGAAGTGCGATCTCCCTAATGTCCTTGTCCTCCTCAGACGTTCCTCCCTCCTTTCCAAACTGAGCCTGGGGTGCGTGGCTCTGGCTCCCTCTCCCGCCCCCCCCCCCCAGAAGCACCCGGGTTTGTGGGGCTTAGCAGAGATGGATGGAACTATTTACTAGTCCCCATGAGACCCACGGGGCTGAATTCGAGCCCAGGAAAGTGTGCCCGGATGGCAGCCCTTTCCTCTCCGAGAGACGACCCCAGCACAAGGAAGACTGTGTAAGAAGTAGGCGTGTGCTGGGGTGGGGGGGGGGAGGCAAGCAAGGGTAAAACTTTCTCTTTCCCACTCACTTTACCTTCTGTGGCTCACTGCCGCGCCCTCTCCCTCCCTTCCTCTCGGCTGCACACTCCTTGCGTGTGTCGTCTCGTCTTGCCTTTGCTACCGGGGGGGGGGGGGGGGCGGCAGTTGCAGCCCTGCCTGCTTTCGCCATTCTTAGATAAATGCCCCTGGGTGGACGAGCTTGCCACCCGCTGCCCTGCCTGCCTCGGACGGCATGCAGGGATGGATTAATTATTAGATCCATTAATTAAATTACCCCCACCCCCGGGGGGGAAACTCTGGCTATGGGGCTGAATGGCCTGCAAAGCACATTCTGGAGCAGGGGTCTCCAGCACTGTGCCCACGGGCACCACGGCACCCATCAAGTGCCAGGTGGGGCTCCTGCCAAGCAAGGCCTCTGAATGCCCACTGGAGATTTTGACTGACATACCACACTGTGTCCTAATCCCAAAGGCACCTGCCAGCTCCCGTTCTAGATGGGCAGACTAGCCGGAAATAAGTCAAAGCTCTACTCGAGCGGCATCCAGATGAACAGCGGGGGGGAGGCATAGCCAGCAGCACCTCCCTGCTCCCTCCCTCCCCACACACGCAAGCAAGCACTGTCTGCATGCGCTCGCTCGCCAGAGAAGAGACAGCAACGACCTCTTGACCCCAGGCATGCTCACTGGGGCGCCCCCTGAGGGTGGGTGGGGGTGCTACCTTGCGTTTAATGTTTGCCAGCAAGCTGAACTTCTCTCGCTTGAAAAATGGGTGCTGGAACTCAATGGCCGAGTTCTTCGCAGAAGTCATCATGCCATTTTCCAGGGCAATCACCTTCCTGAAGCCATCTGTGAAGGCATTTGAAAACTTAGCATTCTTCTGTGACATTACCACAATTTTGTTTTTAGGTTCAGCTAAATGACAGTGTGATTTGCAGTTGAATAATTGTTGGAAACTTTTTTTGCATGAGAAAGTTAGCTATTGCACATTCAGCTGGAAGGGGGGGAAACTAAAACTTGCACACAGATACCTTATGGGAGCCTACAAACAGTTGGGCTACACAAGGGTTAATAGTGACACCCCACCCCCCAACAAGAGCTGCTTCGGAACCCTGAATAAATGGAGTGACTTGCTGGGGGGGGGGGGGGAGAACAGTCATTGAGAAGATTGAAGTTAGACCACAAATCCTAAGGATCATCTGATCCTGTGTAACGTTCTTGAAGGGGTGGAGAAGCAACTGCCCCCTGAAACGGAATGCTGCCCGGCCTCATTTGGGGCTGTGCGATGCCACAGGCAGGGCAGAATCTGTTCTCACGCTCACTCTCAGGATAAGGACCCCCAACACAGTACTCAGTGCACCTCGGGACTGATTAATTGTCATGAACAGAAACGGCTCCTTCAAAAACGTGCTTGGCCAAAGTCAGACTTGACGATCAATGGCTCACTTGCTGAATTTTTAAAGCAACAGTAAAGAAAAATCTACACAGAACCTCTTAGTGAGAAACGCAAATTGGGTCAGTATGTGTTCAAGTCAGGAGAAAGAGACTGGGTTTCTAGGCACTCTCAATGACTCTGCCATGGAGCAGATGGTCGCTGAGCACACCAGAAGAGAGGAGACCCTGGACTTGGCCCTAAGCCATGCTCAAGACATGGTGAGAGATGTCAATGCGACAGCACCGGTTGGGAACAGTGACCATAATGCTATTAAGTTCAACACTCATGTAAACACGGAGTTGCCCCAAAAGCCCAACCCTACCCCATTTCACTTTAGAAGGGGGAGCCTCTCAAATGAGGGGGCTTGTGAAGAAGAAACTGGAAGGAAAGGAGGGTCAAATCCCTTCAGGAAGCTTGGAAAACTATTTAAAACTACAGTTCTAGAAGCTCAGATAAAATGTATACTGCAGGTTAGGAAAGGTACAAATAAGTATTTAAAAAGGCCTGTACGGTTAACTAACAAAGTAATGGAAGCAGGAAAAGAGAAGAAGAATTCCTAGTCCAAGTGAGGTAAATAAAAGGGAGCACAGGCTGTGGCAAATAAAATGCAAGTCGGTGATCAGGACTATGAGGAACACACTGCAAAAAGCATAAAGACCAACAATAAAAAGGCCAACGTTATGCTGAGGATTATTAGGAAGGGAACTGAAAACAGATCAGCCAGTATCATAATGCCCCTATATAAATCAATGGTGCAGCCTCATTTGGAGTACTGTGTACAGTTCTCGTCACCACACCTCAAAAAGGATATTATAGCATTGCAAAAAGTGCAGAAAAGGGCAACTAGAATGATAACAGGGTTGGAACACTTTCCCTATGAAGAAAGGTTAAAGCACTTGGGGCTCTTTAGCTTGGAGAAACGATGACTGATAGAGGTTTACAAAATTATGCATGGGATAGAGAAGGCAGAGAAAGAAGTACTTTTCTCTCTTTCTCACAATACAAGAACTTGTGGGCACTCAATGAAATTAATGAGCAGCAGGTTTAGAACAGATAAAAGGAAGTATTTCTTCACCCAAAGAGTAATTAACACATGGAATTCATGGCCACAGGAGGTGGTGGCAGCTACAAGCTCAGAAAACTTTAAGAGGGGATTGGATAAACACCTGGAGCAGAGGTCCATCAGAGGTTATTAGCTGTAAGGTACGGCTGGAACACTCTTGTCTGGGGCAGTGATGCTCTGCATTCTTAGTGCTTGGGGGGCAACAGTGGGAGGGCTTCTGGAGTCTGGCCCCATTGGTGGACCTCCTGATGGCATCTGATTTTTGCCAATATCAGTCCAATAATACACTCTTAAACATTAATTATGTATGCTAATACAATTACTTTTATACTTGATTATAGTACCTAAGTATACAAAATATTCACAAGGTATACAACCTAATCATACAATATAATGTTATACAATAACACGGTAATACAACAAAATATCAATTGCTGCCAACAGCCAGAAGATACTAGTGGAATTCCAAAACATGTGCTGTTAACAGTCAAAAGAATGTAGAGCTTCTTGACAAAGCAGCCGGCTTATGCTTGGTTTCGTCTCTTAACTTCCTCAGAAGCAACTTAACTGCAAAACAGAATCCATTACAATACATTCATACAGTATTAAAATATGACACTTAACACAGTTTGCAAACCCACAATAAAAGTCAAAATTGAAGAATACTAACTGGTATTGTGTATAAATTTTCTTTATGTTGTAATGTTATTTTCCTGGTTTCTAAAGACTCTTCTCAAGAGTTGCTGAAGGTCTCTCTATTCTACAATTGCAAGCCCACACACTGAACATATCCCGCAGCGATGATGACCACTATTAATCGAAAGGCTCCTGTTAACACGTAACTCATCTGTATGAATTAAGGAATCCCTAATGCTTTTAGTTTTACGAAAACCTATATAAGGTTTGTTCTTGCAACCCGGAATATCACTGACCAAATGCCAGTATTTAAAGATAATTTTCTTAATGCGTTCAGCATTGGTGGTGTAATTAAATGCACAGGATATGCGCTGAGGTGTATCTTGTATATTGTTGTAAGCTAGCAGACTACTCCTAGCTCTATATTCTGCTCTGGCTGATGCTTTGGCTATAACCTCTTCTGGATAACCCCGTGTAACAAATTGCTGATGTAAATTGTTTCTTTCTTTAATATAATCTTTACGTGAAGTACAATTACGTTTAAGACGTAGCAATTGGCTAAAAGGCAGATTCCTCTTTAAATGCTGAGCGTGATATGAATTAAAATGAAGAAAAGAATTTCTATCCGTAGGTTTAACATAAGATTTAACTGCTAACAATCTAGTCTCAGTAATATATATTGTTGTATCAAGAAAATTAATCTCCATCCTATTAATCTGGGCTGTAAATTTAATAGTTTCATGTACCGAATTAAGCCAATCTAGAAATCGTTGAAAAACCTGTTCGTCCCTAAAAATCGAAAATAAATCATCTTTAAGAGCCTTCTGCACTTAGGATACATATGGTAAGCATGTAGCAGTAGAACAGAGAGACCTTTTTGGCTTTGAAGCTTAGTCTATCAAGGACAGGTCCCATATGAGATATGGTTTAAGGTAGGTAGTAAATAGGATTGCTTTAATATAATGCAATTATATAAATAACTGGATTAAATTCCAATACCTCTGTTTTGTAGGAAATAAGGGCTAGTCCCTATATTAAATGTAGCAACTCTTGAGAAGAGTCTTTAGAAACCAGGAAAATAACATTACAACATAAAGAAAATTTATACACAATACCAGGTAGTATTCTTCAATTTTGACTTTTATTGTGGGTTTGCAAACTGTGTTAAGTGTCATATTTTAATACTGTATGAATGTATTGTAATGGATTCTGTTTTGCAGTTAAGTTGCTTCTGAGGAAGTTAAGAGACGAAACCAAGCATAAGCCGGCTGCTTTGTCAAGAAGCTCTACATTCTTTTGACTGTTAACAGCACATGTTTTGGAATTCCACTAGTATCTTCTGGCAGTTGGCAGCAATTGATATTTTGTTGTATTACCGTGTTATTGTATAACATTAAGATATTGTATGATTAGGTTGTATACCTTGTGAATATTATGTATACTTAGATACTATAATCAAGTATAAAAGTAATTGTATTAGCATACATAATTAATGTTTAAGAGTGTATTATTGGACTGATATTGGCCCCAGTTTTGTTGTCTTTGGAGTTTGGATACTGAGAGGTCTGTCTTTTTGGCATCTGATTTTTGGACACTGTGACAGAGTGTTGGACTGGATGGGCCAATAGCCTGATCCAACATAGCTTCTCTTATGTTCTTATGTTTGTTACAACAGTTGCAACCTCTAGAGGTAGATTCAGGTGAGTAGCATGCACATGGAAGCTTATACCTTGAATAAAACTTAGTCCGTCTTAAAGGTGCCCCTGGACTTGAACTTTTTTCAACCTTTAGAGGTAGTCTGTGAACATTTTCATCAGTACACTACCAGAGGTTTTGCATTACCATCACTCTGTCCACTATCTATTTAGTGGAATTCTACTTAAAATTTGAGGTACATTTTGGGCTCTGTGCTTGAATGTGAACAGTAAACTATTTTATCATCATGGCCTGATTATGCCTAGACTGCCTTTTTTTAAAAGTAACTCTAAAGAATGCCCACACAGTTCCTCTACATCTGTGCACTGAAGCTGTAAACCACAGAAGGTTTTCCCACCATTAATGATCTTCTCATCAGGGAATCCTCAGCGAGTTGCTACAGAACCCCAGGAGGAGTTTTAAAGTCAAGGCCTTAGGAGTAAAACATTCTGTTAAGTTTATACCAGCTCTTTCCAAGTCAGCAACACAACCAGGCAGCCTGAAGCCACCAGTAAGAAGAGAAGAAGAAGAGATTGGATTTATACCCCGCCCTTCACAACCCAAAGGTGTCTCCGAGCGGCTTACAAACTCCTTTCCCTTCCCCTCCCCACAACAGACACCCTGTGAGGTAGGTGGGGCTGAGAGAGCCCTTGACAGAAACTGCTCTTTTTTCAAGAACAGCTCTTATCAGACCTATGGCTTGCCCAAGGTCATCCAGCCAGGTGCAAGTGGAGGAGTGGGGAACCAAACCCGGTTCTCCCAGATTAGAGTCCACGCACTTAACCACTACACCAAACTTAACCACTACACCAAAGTAACTGCTTGCTTTGTATTTGGCAAAGTGGTTTTGGGTTTTAGCAGGGGCTTCCCCTCAAGGCAGAAGCACCGCCTTGCAATTCAGAAAGAATCCAGGCCTAAATCTTGCTATGTGCTGCTTGCATGAAGCTTCCTGTGGCCCACGGCTCTGCTTTCTGCCTTCAAGCAGAAAGGAAAACTGTTCTCACACAAAGTAACAGATACTTACAGATGTTGAGCTGACGGATGAAGCTGGACAGGTTGTTGTGTTTGAAGTACTTGGGAAGCAGCTCTTTTGCAAACCTCTGCTCATCCAGAATGCTAAAGTTCTGTCCATTCTAGAGGAAAAGGAGAAACACCACAATAAGGAATGTAAGGTAAACAATCCTGAGCCATGGACACACTATCCACACATCAAGGCACATTTTGCTTCATTAGCAAGTGCTCTTGGAAGAGAAACAGCGGGAAAGGGACATGAAGCAGCACGGTGCAGCAGTTAAAATGGGAGGTCAGCATGCCAGAAATCAGGGATTCAACTTTCCTCTTGCCCAGAAAACTCACAAGGGCAAGTATGGGCAGCCTCCTTGGCCTCCCAGGCACATCCTTGACCTCCTGCACCTTAAACCAGCACTTCAACATGAACAGAGCTTATTCGAAATGATCACAAAACCAGACACAATCTCCCAGCAAAAGAATATTCTACAATAAACTGAACTCTGGGAAAGTCAAAAAAGACATGGTCAGCTGACGGCCCAGCTACTGGACAAATAGTGTCAATTAAGATCAAGTCATTTAAAAACATAAGTTATATAAAAGATTCCTTAATCATCCAACAGTTTGATACTTATGCCAGTTATAAAAACAAATTATCGGTTACTGTAAAACAGAACAATTCACTTGTTTAGAAAAGGTTGTAATTATTGTAACTTCGTAATGCTGGACAAGGTCTCTATAAATGTAAACAATTCACGCAAATTTCCCCCTTGAGTGTTTTATCCTGGAGCATCTGGATCAGCCCACAGTTCCAAAAATAAAAAATTAAGATCAGAAACACAGCCTGAGCACCAGAAGTCTGCTGGGCAGTTCCAGCTAGAGGCCTGCGGAGGAAGCAGGCCATTAAATACAAAACGGCAGCCGCATCCCTGACTTTACATGAAGTCTGACACGATCAAATAGGCAGGCAACTGACAGTATTTCTGTCAATCCTAATATAACAAAGACTACATATTTAGTAAGTTTATGTGATGCCTCCACAGAGACAAGCTCAGGTTGGCTTATATGGAACCTACTGAAGCTATCTGCTCAGTCACCTAGTCAGTCAGCTTTTAAAGTCTGTCATAAATATAATTTATACATTTCTCCAGCCCTTCCCCTAAGGATCTCAGAGCAGTGTGTTATTCCCTTATTTTGTTTGCCTAACAGCCACATAAAAGTAGATTAGGCATTTTAATATACAAATTTAACAAGACAGAATGGAACTAAATTGTAAAAAAAAAAAATCAAAAGTATTTAATTTGGCTGGGTCATGGTCTAAAAGGAAGACTAACCACAGAGCTAGAAAGCTTCTGGTTTTAGAATAATTTTGGCATAGCGATCAGAAGGAGCAGAATAAAAGGTGCCAAATCCTGGCATCTAAAACAATCAGAAGCGACCCCGGGATGGGGGGGGGAGGCGTGGCGTTTGGACATAAAGTTCTTAGGAGACCAGCTGAGCTCTGAGCAGGAGCAGGAGAGAGAGCTGTGAGAGTGGTGAGTGGGTTTCTTTTACTTGCTTTCAGCTGAGAGAATTCAGCTAAGGATATTTTGTGGGAAAACTGTGTTTAGCAGTGTGTGGAAGCACTTAGAGTTCTTGCAGAGTCCTGGCTGATTGCGTGTGGGAGAGGAACGGGCACTGTTTGACTGGGATTGCCTGTAATTGAGAGGAAGTGGAAGGGGCATTGTTTTGCCTGTGATTGAGTGCCTGGGTGAATTTGAATTTGAATAGCTGCTGCCTGACCTCTGCTGGGGGAGGCCTCTATTTAAGGAAACACCTTGGCAGAGGCACGAGCCTCTGGCACGAGCCGAAGGGTGAGCTAAAGGGCTCTTTGCCTGTGGCTCTTAGCCTAGGGACTCTTAGACTAGGGGCGCTGTAAGAAGCCCAAAAAGAGCCAGAAAGACAAGGCCCTAGGCTCTTTGTCTTTCCCGTAAAATAATTTGACTTGATAACAAAACCCACATAAATACCAAGGGTTTAAAAGGGGGATTATATTTATTTATTTTAAAAGAATTATGAAGCCAGAATGCCAGCAGGGGGTTGGGGGCTATCCAGTGTTTTGCACGGAGTGTCACATGTATGACTATCTGCCCACTGGGCAGAAGTCTTGGGTGTGTCCTCGGTGCAAGGAGCTCCTGGTTCTCAGGGAACGTGTGTGCTCCCTTGAGGCCAAGGTGGCTGACCTGGAGAAGCAGAGACAGTCAGCTAGGCACACAGAAAAGACTCTCGGGGACTTGTTAGCTTCGTCCCACTCTGGATCTGGCAGCCCCGCTGCTGTCAGGGAGCATGAGGGTCTAGGGGAAACAGGGCACCATGCTGAGGATAAGGGGAATGTGCCCTCAGAAGGGACCTCTTCCCCAGCTGGTGAGCGGCTCTCCTTTTGCACCAAGGAACCATCCCTGAGCAGGGTGGGAGGGGGGCTCTTGGTAGTGGGTGATTCGATCCTTAGGCAGGTAGACAGCTGGGTGGCGAACCCGCGTACTGACCGTATGGTGACTTGCCTGCCTGGTGCGAAGGTAGCGGACATTACGCGTGTTTTAGATAGGCTGGTAGATAGTGCTGGGGAGGAGCCAGTGGTCGTGGTGCATGTCGGCACCAACGATGTGGGGAAATGCAGTCGTGAGGTCCTGGAGGAGAAATTTAGGCTGCTGGGCAGGAAACTTAGGTCCAGGACCTCCAAGGTAGCCTTCTCAGAAGTGTTACCTGTTCCACGCGCAGGGCCGGAGAGACAGGCAGAGATCAGGAGTCTCAATGCGTGGATGAGACGATGGTGTAGGGGGGAAGGGTTCAGGTTTGTTAGGCACTGGGATACTTTTTGGAACAAGAGGGAGCTGTACAGGCGAGACGGTCTCCACTTGTCCCGAGAAGGAACCAGGCTGCTGGCACTTAAAATCAAAAAGGTGGCAGAGCAGCTTTTAAACTGAATATTGGGGGAAAGCCGACAGGAGATGAAAAGTCTCTGGTTCGGGTTGGCTCATCTGAGAGAGGTGAGGGGGTACCGGTTGCTTTTCTACAGGGAGGTGGATTGAAATTGTCCACAGAGGCCATGGCTGGTGACATGGACTGCCGGACAACGACTCGAGATAGCAAGAGGAAGGATGCAGGCTTAACTTGTAAGGGAAATTACAGCTGTTTCTATACAAATGCTAGAAGTGTCCGAGGTAAAATCGGGGAGTTGGAGTGCTTGGTGTCGGAGGGAAAAATAGACATTGTGGGTATTTCTGAAACTTGGTGGGATGAGGAAAATCAGTGGGACACAGTGATTCCCGGTTATATATTATATCGGAAGGATAGGGGGGGAAGGGTTGGAGGTGGGGTAGCTCTGTATGTCAGAGAGGGTATAAAGTCTAGAAAGATTGAGAGGCTAAGTGAATTGGATTCGCTTCTGGAAGTTCTATGGGTTGAAATAGGGGGGCCAAAAGGAAACTTAACACTGGGAGTTTGTTATCGCCCACCAGATCAAAAGATAGAGGAGGATTATAAAATGATGAATGCCTTAAAGATAGCAACTAGACAAAAACACTGTGTAATAATAGGTGATTTTAACTACCCACACATTGATTGGGTCAATATGTGTTCTAGTCGGGAAAAAGAGATTGAGTTTCTAGACACTCTAAATGACTGTGCTATGGAGCAGATGGTCACGGAACCTACCAGGGGAGAGGCGATCCTTGATTTGGTCCTAAGTAACACTCAAGACCTGGTGAGAGATGTAAAAGTGATTGCACCGCTTGGAAACAGTGATCATAATGTTGTTGAGTTCATCATTTGTACAAATAGAGAATTGGCCAAAAAGACTCACACAACCATTTTTAACTTTAAAAGGGGTAATTTCTCTGATATGAGGGGACACGTGGGGAGGAAACTGAAAGGAAAAGTAGAAAGGGTCAAAACAATTGGGGAAGCTTGGGATCTATTTAAAACTACGATCCTAGAAGCTCAAAAAATATATATTCCGCAGGTTAGGAAAGGCACAAACAGGTATAGGAAAAAGCCTGCATGGTTAACAAACAGAGTAATGGAGGCTGTAAAAAGTAAAAAGAATTCCTTTAAGCAGTGGAAAGCTAGTCACAGTGAGGCTGATAAAACGGAACACAGGCTATGGCAAATAAAATGCAAGTCTGAGGTCAGGCAGGCAAAAAGGGAATATGAGGAGCATATAGCAAAAAACGTAAAAACCAACAATAAAACTTTCTTCAAATACATTAGAAACAGGAAACCAGCCAGGGAGGCAGTGGGGCCCTTGGACGACCAAGGGGTAAAAGGAGTATTGAAGGATGATAGGGAAATGGCTGAGAAGCTAAATGCATTTTTTGCCTCCGTCTTCACTGTGGAAGATGAGAAGTGCTTGCCCACTCCAGAACCACTGATTTCAGGAGGGGTGTTGGAAGACCTGAGTCAGATTGAGGTGATGAGAGAGGAGGTCCTAAAACTGATAGACAACTTAAAAACTGAAAAATCACCAGGCCCAGATGGCATACATCCGAGAGTTCTGAAAGAACTCAAATGTGAACTTGTAGATCTCCTGACAAAGATATGTAATCTTTCCTTAAAATCTGCCTCCATTCCTGAGGATTGGAAGGTAGCTAATGTCACTCCCATCTTTAAAAAGGGTTCCAGAGGAGATCCGGGAAATTACAGGCCAGTCAGTCTGACGTCGATACCGGGTAAATTGGTGGAAACCATTATTAAGGAAAGAATTAGTAGGCACATAGATGAACAAAACCTATTGAGGCAGACTCAGCACGGTTTCTGTAAGGGAAGATCTTGTCTCACTAACCTGTTAGTGTTCTTTGAGGGGGTGAACAAACATGTGGACAAGGGGGATCCAATAGATATTATTTACCTTGACTTCCAGAAAGCTTTTGATAAAGTTCCTCATCAAAGGCTCCTAAGTAAGCTCAAAAATCATGGGATAGAAGGACAAGTCCTTTTATGGATCAAAAACTGGCTAGTTCATAGAAAACAGAGAGTGAGTGTAGGTGGGCAATTTTCTCAGTGGAGGGTGGTAAGCAGTGGGGTACCGCAGGGATCAGTACTTGGTCCACTGCTTTTTAACTTGTTCATTAATGATTTGGAGATGGGA